TGACACTAATATCAACTCCAAGGCTTATTTATCTATCAAAATTCATCTAATATGACATAATAAACAATATTAATAACAGAAACATGACATATACTCTAGAATGAATAAAATATGTCATCATGTATGTCACAAAAGGAGAGTTACATTCGTGCTGTCCTTTTTCTATCAATTAATCGCCTAGCTTACTTGCTACACTTTATCGCAGGCTGGTGCTATAGCCTTTATCGACTCATGCTGCTTTAGTATCGTAGAATCACTGAAGAAGGCACATTCTCCCCTCTCTCTTCCTCCTCCACTTTGATACTTTGCTACAATTTCTTTCTTTAATTCTATCGTGTTGCTCACTTTCTTTACTAAAGGACTGGCAATAGAAGCTTTCTTTGTGCCCATGGTGGCTTATTTAGTAGTCGCACACAATAAACAAGTGCCAAAAACAATGGATTATTACGAAATCTTTCGTATGACCTGGCAGGATATGTTTGCTCACCGAGAAACAACACAACACTGACTGAGAATGCGTGTGGGAGGCGGCTTTGTGTACGCGCTGGGCACTGGACAGGTTCCGTACCATCAACAAAAACGGAACCAAGATTTTGATGAAAAAAGTGGGCGAAAACGAAAATAATGGAGATCAGCGAAAAGGGAGGGTCCACTGTATTCCAATTTCAAAATAGGGTCCAGAATAAACAATGCAGGTATTCCTGGCATTAAAATAACATTTCCTCTGTTTATTATGTACAGTGGACCCCCGCTTAACGATCACCTCCAAATGCGACCAATTATGTAAGTGTATTTATGTAAGTGCGTTTGTACGTGTATGTTTGGGGGTCTGAAATGGACTAATCTACTTCACAATATTCCTTATGGGAAAAAATTTGGTCAGTACTGGGACCTGAACATACTACTGGAATGAAAAAAGTTCGTTAACCGGGGGTCCACTGTATTTACATTTCCAGGCTTTACAGATGAATTCCATTTTGACTGTTTATTCACAAAGAATTTTTATTCACACCAAAAGATAGAAGATTTACTGTTATGCAATATTGTAACAATTGTATAAATAACCATCAGCATATTCGTGAACGTATATCAGACCCACCAGCTGACATGTACTGGATGTGTTAAGTCATTTGTTTACTCTTGAACATCGTCAAAAATCGAACATTTCCACTAATTTGAGCTCAATTTCAAGCTATTTTCAGCACTAAAATCAATCAAATCATGTCTATTTCTATATCTTCCAGTTTATCAAATGAGACCAAGAAACCATGAATAAAACCATAAAAAACATACGAAAATACGCTGCAAAGTTGTTTTAATCCAAAAACATGGTCACGTGTTTTTTCTCATTATGCACTGAGTGCTGCAGAATTTGTTTTATATGGTGCACATTTACCATAGATGCATTCTCTCATATCTAGGCCCAAATTTACTGCTCACAGCTTATCTGAGTGAGCTGAGCTCACGACGTAGTACTACGGCTTGGAACCTGGCTTCAAAGCCCTCGAAGGGCTAATTTATGTCCAGCACCATACCTCGGCCTCATACACTACCCACACCAACTGCTCATTCAACATGCCCCTCCCTACCGTGGCCGCACACCCACACCTCCACAACACCCACCCATACCACCTGCCTCTACACCACGGCCACATACCTTCACCCACACCATTCCAACCAGTAACCTCCACACCATCCCAACCATCAACCTACCCCCACAGAACCCACTCACACAATCCCCACCTCTCGGTACGTCTATACCAACACCACTTACCCACTACCGAAAGACCAAACCTTGCAAATCCTACAAATACACCACAGCCACATACCTTCACCCACACAACTCCCCCATGGCCACACATTTTCATCCACACCATCCCAACCATCAAATTTACCCCCATACAACCCACCCACACAATCCCCACCTCTCAACAAGTCTACACCAACACCACTTACCCCCTACCTGAAAACCAAACCTTGCCCCAACCTACCTCCTCACACCCACACCTTTCCCAAACTTTCACCCTAACACACCACACACATATTCACCCACCACCTTCATTATGACTTGACATGATGTTGGAGTATAAGTAAGGTAACAATTATTAAGGGATTCAGGGAAACTGGTTAGCCAGACTTGAGTCCTGGGGAAGGGAAGTACAGTGCCTGCACTCTGAAGGAGGGTAGGGATTTTATAGTTTGGAGGGGCATCTGCACTGTAATACTGGTGCTCCTCTGTGCAGTAATGGAGTGAGTGATGGTGAAAGGGTTTCTTCTTTTTCAGGTCACTACCTCAGTAAGATATGGCAGGTGTGATAAATACATAAATACACATACAGGAGGGCCCTGCTGATACAGCAGGTTAGGTTCCACCCTACTGCTGCACAGGGAAAAATCACTAAAATGAATCATAGCCTTTTTTCACTTTCAAATGCATACAAAAGCCTGATAACACATTTACACTATCATATATTAAGTGAGCAATAAAGCTAGGACTAAAAAATGCATATACACGATGGCCGTCTCGCACCGAAGCAGGGAGCCCAAAAAAGAAAAACACTTTCACCATCACTCACACAATATCACTGTCTTTGCAGAGGTGCCCAGATATGACAGATTAGATGCCACTCCAAACAGCGAATATCCCAAACCCCTCCTTTAAAGTGCAGGCATTGTACTTCCCACCTCCAGGATTCAAATCTGGATAAATTACTATTTCCCTGAATCCCTTCACAAAATATTACCCGGCTCACGCCTCAACAGCTCATAGAGTCCCGAAAACCATTCATCTCCATTCACTCCTATCTAACATGCTCACACACGCCTGTTGCACGTCCAAGCTGCTTGCACACAAAACCTCTTTTACCCCCCCCCTCCCTCCATCCTTTCCTAGGATGACCCCTACCCCTCCTTCCCTCCACTACAGATTTACACATCCTCCAAGTCAACCTGTTTTGCGCCATCCTCTCTAAATGACCAAACCACCTCAATAACTCATCCTCAGCTCTCTGAATAATACTCTTGGTAACGCCACACCTCTTCCTAATTTTCACACAACGAATTCTCTGCATATTTACACCATGCACTGCCCTTAGACACAACACCTCCACTGCCTCCAGCCTCTTTCTCACTGCAGCATTCACAACCCATGTTTCACACCCATGAAAGAGTCTTGGCACCACTATACTCTCATACATTCCCATCTTTGCCTCCATGGATAATGTTTTTTGTCTCCACTGATACCTCAATGCACCACTCGCCTGTTTTTCCTTTATCAATTCTATGATTAACCTTGTCCTTCATAACCCCATCTGCTGACAAATCTACTCCCAAATATCTTAACACATTCGCTTCTTCCATACTCCCTCCCTCCAATGTGATATCCAATTTTTCTTTTTGTAACTCGTTTGATACCCTCGTCTTACTCTTATCTATTTTCACTTTCAACTTCTTTCTTTATGCATTACTTCTTACCTCAAAGCATTTTTGTCCTTAGCTTATGAGTGGTGAATTTATTTATTGTAGTAAGTCAGAATAAATGAAGAATGGGTATAATTGAAAACTGCTATATTAGCAAAATGCCATAAAGCGAAGCACTGTAAAAAGGGTCTGCCTGACATATGTATGTGCATATGAGAGAGAGAGAGAGAGAGAGAGAGAGAGAGAGAGAGAGAGAGAGAGAGAGAGAGAGTGAGAGAGAGTGAGAGAGAGTGAGAGTGAGTGTGTGAGAGAGTGGAGTGTGTGAGTGTGTGTGAGTGTGTGAGTGTGTGTGAGTGTGTGAGTGTAGTGTGAGTGTGTTGTGAGTGTGTGTGAGTGTGTGTGTGTGGAGTGTGAGTGTGTGTGTGTGAGTGTGAGTGTGAGTGTGTGTGTGTGTGTGTGTGTGTGTGTGTGTGTGTGTGTGGTGTGAGTGTGTGAGTGTGAGTGTGTGTGTGTGTGTGTGTGTGAGTGTGTGTGTGTGGAGTGTGTGTGTGTGAGTGTGTGTGTGTGAGTGTGTGTGTGTGGTGTGGTGAGTGTGTGTGTGTGTGAGTGTGTGTGTGTGTGTGTTGAGTGTGTGTGTGTAGTGTGTTTGTGTGTGTGTGTGTGTGTGGTGTGGTGTGTGTGGTAGGTGTGTGGTGTGTGTGTGTGTGTGTGTGGTGTGTGTGTGGTGTGTGTGTGTGGTGTGTGTGTGTGTGTGTGTGGTGTGTGTGTGTGTGTGTGTGTGTGTGTGTGTGAGTGTGTGTGTGGTGTGTGTGTGTGTGTGTGTGTGTGGTGTGTGTTGAGTGTGTGTGGTGTGTGTGTGTGTGTGTGTGTGTGGTGTGTGTGTGTGTGTGTGTGGTGAGTGTGTGTGTGTGTGTGTGTGTGTGGTGTGTGTGTGTGTGAGTGTGTGTGTGTGTGTGTGTGTGGTGTGTGTGTGAGTGTGTGGTGTGTGTGTGTGTGTGTGTGTGTGTGTGTGTGTGTGTGATGTGTGTGTGGTGTGTGTGTGTGTGGTGTGTGTGTGTGTGTGTGGTGTGTGTGTGTGTGTGTGTGTGTGTGTGTGTGTGTGGGTGTGTGTGTGTGGTGTGTGTGGTGAGTGTGTGGTGATGTGTGTGTGTGGTGGTGTGTGTGTGGTGTGTGGTAGTGTGTGTGTGTGTGTGTGGTGAGTGTGTGGAGTGAGTGTGTGAGTGAGTGTGTGAGTGAGTGTGATGTAGTGAGTGTGTGTGAGTGAGTGTGTGAGTGTGTGGTGGAGTGTGTAGTGGGTGTGAGTGTGAGTGGTGTGTGTGGTGTGTGTGAGTGTGTTGTGTTGTGTGTGTGTTGGTGGGTGTGTGTGTTCGTGTGGTGGTGTGTGTGGTCGCGGTCTTTGTGGTTGAGGTCGAGCTTAGTTGCCTCAGTGTGTGTGTGTGTGTGTGTGTGTGTGTGTGTGTGTGTGTGGTGTGTGTGTGTGTGTGTGCGCGCATGTGTGTAACAGCACTCACACAAAAACAAAATATCTCAAATGCTACTTAAGTAAATGTGAATCATAAAAATCTTCAAGAAAAACTTACAGAGAGGAGCCTAGCCGAGGTAGGTCGATCAGGTGGAGATTTCTGAAGGCATGACTCAACAAAGTGTTGGAAATCTTTTGACCACTCTGGAGAAGACATTTTTGGGGCATCATTTTGGGCAATGTGATACAAGGCACTCATGGCATTCATGTTGAAGTAGGGCGGTTTGCGTTCAGCCAGTTCTATACATGTGATGCCTAGCGACCATACATCCACCTGCAAGAAGCAGTTTAGACTTAATACTCTTCAATGTTTGAAAAACAATCATTTATTAGGGCACTTTGCTGTGTAGAGCTTTATCATGTAATGAATAATGAAAGAAGCACTGAGCACTGTCCCTGTAAAAGCTTGTTCTACAGCCTGTTTGTCTTCATATTTGTGGGAAATATGCTTTTCCACCCAGGCTTCAATGTTGTACAGTACAGGCACCTACATTTTGTGCTACTTGGTGCTGCCATATAGAGGCTACATGAATGTATAATAACCAGAAGGTTTCCTAAATAAGAATTAGAGGTTGTTATGAACATCAACATAGAATATTGTGCCAAGTGATACATGTAATTTTTTCACTCTTGGGTAGCACATAATTAGTGCTAGAATTGTGAAATTATGTACCTAGTCTTAAGTTGGAGGTAGGTCTCTGTGAGACTGATCTTCGTACTCCACATTTTTACTCTGCACTATGGATTTGAGTGTCTTAAGCTTAACCTTAGACAATTGGGCTTCTAACTTTACTAGTGATTTCTAACTCTTCTGATTCATACTGAGGCATTCAATGTCTTAAACCTTTAACAGTCGGGCTTCCAACTTTCTTAGCTATTCGTCACAGTGTGGCTTCTGACTGTTTGTTTTTCTGACAGTCGAGGTTCTTAATGTCTCTTGCCAGTGATTATGGCTACTGACTTAACCTGGTGCTATAACTAAAATATACCTAGACTTATGGACATACACATCTTCAGATTATCTTGTACATTATTACCTGCAAGATTTTATTTAAGCTTTATGTCTTTTTTTTATGCTATCCTTGTCTCATTATTGGTAATATATAGTACCAACTGTCTCAAGACATGCTTTACTCTCTTGTTACGTTAACCATTAACAGGACCCCTGTTGGGTCAAAGGATGGCCTCCTGATCTGCCAGGAAAAAAGAATTTGTTTGTATTAGAGCTTAGTAAGGATTAAATGCATTCTGACAAAACAATGTAGCTCTCACACTGATTAGTGTATAAAATCCTACACACCAGTCATTACAACTTCTTACCTTTCCATCATACTGTCCTTCATCCATAGCCAAAATGACCTCAGGAGCCATCCAGTATGGTGTTCCAACAAAACTATTAGCAGGAGACGCAATACTTGCACTACCAAAATCAGCTGCAGACAGGAAACGCACAAATCAATTTTAGTGCAAAACATTATAGTAGAAGCAATATGAACAATGTTGAAGACACTGACATCAAGATATTGGTGACAGTAGCTTTACACAGATTTAAAAAGTATTCAATTTTTTCTGTTATAGATATGGCTTTTCAGTGGAGCAATTCTTTCAAGTGGGTGCAAAATAAGAAATAGAAGTAGGAAATTATAGCTTTTCTACAGAAATTATATCTTAATTATGGAAATCCTATCACTTTCCTTGCAAGCAAGAATCAGAAAGAATACACTTTTGAATTTCATATATATGAATGAAGATATTAAGAAGAATCTAGTGTTAATTTTATGAACGAAGTGAAGCAGAATGTACTGAATAAAACGAAGTTAAAAGTTTCAATGTTCAAAGTGTTAAATGAACCAACTTGAGGGGTGTTTGTTGAAGTATCAGAAATCTTCCCTATGAGGATAGACTGAGGGCCCTGAATCTGCACTCTAGAAAGGGAAAGAATTAGGGGGGATGTGATTGAGGTGTATAAATGGAAAACAGGAATAAATAAAGGGGATGTAAATAGCGTGCTAAAAATATCTAGCCAAGACAGAACTTGCAGCAATGGTTTTAGGTTGAAAAAAATTCAGATTCAGGAAGGATATAGGAAAGCAACGGTTTGGTAATAGAGTTGTGGATGAGTGGAACAAATTCCTGAGTACCGTCATAGAAGCTAAGACATCGTGTAGTTTTAAAAATAGGTTAGATAAGTACATGAGTGGGTGTGGGTTGGCTGTGACTAGCTTGTGTTAGTAGGTCTGATGCTGTGCTCCTTAAGTGAATGTGACCTGACCTGACTAGGTCGGGTCACGGACTTAAGCTGGTGGGAGACTTGGACCTGCCTCGCATTGGCCAGTAGGCCTGCTGCAGTGTTCCTTCTTTATGTTCTTAACCCTTTGACTGTTTCCGACGTATAAATACGTCTTACGAGCCAATGTTTCTGACGTATTTATACGCATAAATTCTAGCAGCTTCAAATCAAGCAGGAGAAAGCTGGTAGGCCCACATGTGAGAGAATGGGTCTCCATGGTCAGTGTGCACCATATAAAAAAAATCGGGGAGCCAGTGGTGCATTGTGGGAATGCCATTTCAGTTGTCATTTTTCAGCATGTCTAGCGGTAAGAAATATGTGATTCCCCAGCAAATCTGGGACTCTTCTCTTCCCAAGTGATGCTCTAACACAGATGGAAGTGTCAGTGAAGATCAATTTCATGATTTGGAGGAGTTTGAGACCAAAAGCAATGGAGGAGGAGGGAGGAGGGGGAAGAGGAGGGAGGAGGAGGAGGAGGAGGGAAGGAAGAGGAGGAGGGAGGAGGAGGAGGAGAGGAGAGGAGGAGAGGAGGAGGAGGAGGAAGAAGAAGATGTAATAATATTGTTCCCTTGAAGCAAGAAAAAAAAAAGTCCACCCATGACAGTGACAAGATAAGGGGAGATAACATCTGATAAGAGCTGACTTTGATGAGGGTAAAGGAGGGTAATATTACATGACCATTGCCCTCCCTTTGTTTTTGCTGGTACACAAACATTTCTGTCTGTCTATTTGTCTGTCTGTCAAGCTCCCTGTCTGTCCATCTAGCTCTCTGTCTCAGAGAGAGCCACAAGACTGTGTCATCACGTTTTTACTCACATCTTCAAGCAGAGTATAGCACTTTGTCTGGATTTCTTGGGTTATCCTAGGTAATTTACACTATGTATACTTGTATTTATGTGTACCTGTGAGACAGAGATAGGCAGACAGATAGAAAGAGAGACAGATTGAAAGATATAAAATGAGGGAGAAAGATAATTAGATAGAATGGAGGAGGGGAAGCAGCATCCGACCCCATTGTTTTGACAGGCGGTAGGGTAGTGACTAATGACACAATATGTCACTTTGACAGCTGCCGACTCCTGACTCAAAACAATTATAAGCCCACACTCGCACACAAGGAGGAGGAGGAGAGGAGGAGGAAGAAGAAGAAGAGGAGGAAGAAGAGAAGAGGAGGAAGAAGAAGAGGAGGAGGAAGAAAAGAAGAGGAGGAAGAGGAGGAGGAAGAGGAGGAGGAAGAGGAGGGAAGAGGAGGAGGAAGAGGAGGAAGGAGGAGGAAGAGGAGGAGGAAGAGGAGGAGGAAGAGGAGGAGGAAGAGGAGGAGGAAGAGGAGGAGGAAGAGGAGAGGAAGAGGAGGAGGAAGAGGAGGAGGAAGAGGAGGAGGAAGAGGAGGAGGAGAGGAGGAGGAGAGGAGGAGGAAGAGGAGGAGGAAGAGGAGGAGGAAGAGGAGGAGGAGAGGAGGAGGAAGAGGAGGAGGAAGAGGAGGAGGAAGAGGAGGAGGAAGAGGAGGAAGAGGAAGAGGAAGAAGAAGAATTGTTTGTTTGTTTTTGTAAACAAGTTTTGTAAACAATATATTGATAATTATGTTTGTGTGCTTGTTGTGTTGTATACAACGAGTGTATATATATACATTGCACCTTACTTTGGTCTCATAGGCCACATAAGTTATGTGAAAAAATAAAATAGTGAAAAAAACAAAAAACCTTCAATTACAAGTAAACTAAAGTTTACCGGGTGAGCGGCAGTCGCCGCTGTTGCCATACGCGGCTCATTTTCTGCAAACTTCATGGCTCTATATCTCGGTAAGTACCGATGGCAAAAATTTTTTTTTTGGACTAAAACACTCAGAAAAATAATCTTAACATTTTCATAAGAAAAAATAATTTTTTTTTTTTTTTGAATATTTGGCGACATAGAATGACAGTTTCAGAGAGGGACCTGAAACAGTCAAAGGGTTAAGTAAAAACTAAAGACAATGTTGCATGAATGTTAAATTAAGAACTGAGGAAGAGTGAGTGTGGGATGTGAGAAGTATTTAATAGTGTACTTGTCTGTGTTGTTGATGTTCAGTAAACACTCAATGCAGGCGGTACATTCCTGAAAATCCTCATCTCGTGTAAAATAGAATTATGTAAAGGGAAGAAAACATGGTAATATGGTTATGTTCCATATGCCAACACTTTATAACATCCTAATTACCTTACATTTTATAGCTGTTGCTTGCTGACACAGAAGTGCATGGAAAGGGTTGACATGGCCTTAATGGGCCAAGCTGGAATAAGGTTTATCAATACATTCAATCACTGCATGTCCACAAATGTAAAAGCACAAATTTCCTTCCTAAACTGTACCAAATATGCAGAAACTCTCCTTACCTATACCAAACACATACCAATTAATATTTGTGCTTTGCCTAAGCAAAGCAAAATTATTAATTACAAAAAAGTTAAGAAACAGTATCACCTGCCTTCCTGTTGGAGTACATACAGCCACTGACAGCTTATGTTGTACCAGTCAACATGTCATCATCTTAACAACAAAGGCCACGTATCCTTATCAAATTGTACCAAACATGTAGGAACTCGCCACACTTACACCAAACAAATGTGCATGAAAGATGAATGCATGTGACAGTAATAACTAGGAAAAGTACAGTAATAGCACATTACTGTAATAAAATAATGTTATGTAAAGCTGTGTCTGGGAGATGTGTTGAGAGCTGGCTCCCAGCAATACTGTAAACACACATGTCCATTGTAATCTAATTCTTCCATACACATCTGAATTATCTCTACAAGTTTTATTTTATACAATCTATGTAATGAAATAGGACACTTCCACCTCCAGAGGGGCAGCAACTGGCAGGACACTTGACCAAACATCTTCCCCTCATTCCATTATCCACATAGACACCACTTTGCCTTACCTAACAAGGAGATGCGAATCTTCAGAATACACCAGAATACATCATACCAAAACTCAGGCACTTCTCTGTGTCGTTAGTTGCTGCCACTAGCTTGTGTACCATACACACTGTGTGCAGCGGCATTAAACGCTTTGATGGTTTCTCGATACAGTGGTTGTATCACAGATGCCATATTTGGTGGCAAAAAGACTATCTTGACACCTGGCTTTAAATCCTCCAAAAGTTGAAGACTTTATTCTAATTCTACAAGATTTTGAATAGGCAATTAATGACATGCCAATGTACTCTGCCCCAGACCCAGACTCGTGGAACTCCGTGTTCATAAAGAATTGCAAGAAGCTTCAGCACGTGCTAGGGGCTTTTGGACAGTGGTCATCCCACACACACACTAAAAAAACAGACATAGCCCCACTCCACAAAGGTGGCAGTAAAACAATTGCAAAGAACTACAGACCGACAGCACTATCATCCCATATCATAAAAATCTCTGAAAGGGTTTTAAGAAGCAAGATAGCCAACCACCTATATACCCATCAATTACACAACCCAGGGAAACACGGGTTTAGAGCAGGTCGCTCCTGCCTGTCCCAGCTACTGGACCACTATGACAAGGTCCTGGATGCTGTAGAGGATAAACAAAATACAGATGTAGTATACATAGACTTTGCAAAAGCTTTCGACAAGTGTGACCATGGTGTAATAGCACACAAAATACGTGATAAAGGAATAATGGGAGAAACTGACAAATAGAACACAGAGTAATAGTAAACAGAGTAAAGTCCCAGGTAGCCACGGTAAAAAGCTCTGTTCCACAAGGCACAGTACTCACTCCCATTCTATTCCTCATCCTCATTTCTGACAGACAGACAGATGTAAGCCATACCTCCATGTCTTCCTTTGCGGATGACACCCAGATTACGATGGCAGTGACCTCCATCGAAGACACTGCGAGACTCCGAGTGGACATCAACCAAATCTTCAAATGGGCCACTCAAAACAATGCGAAGTTCAATGAGGAGAAATTTCAACTACTCACATATGGGAAACTTGAAGAAATTAAAAATATGTCAGAGTATACAACAAATTCTAACCATACAATAGAGCGGAAAAGTAATATGAAGGACCTGGGAGTGATAATGTCAGAGGATCTCGCCTTCAAAGACCACAATAATGCATCTACCTCATCCGCTAAGAAAATGATAGGATGGATAAGAGCCCTC